CCCCAGGAAATCAATGAAAAGTTTAATTACAGTTATGGCAGTGTTATATGAGAATATTGCTTTGGTCAATTTTACTTGTACAATTTATCAGTCCTCCCTGACTTTCTTTTTCAAATTAATTGCTTTGATGAAATAAGTATAAATACATTATTTGTTAGCTTTTGGGTTTTTTTTTTTTTAGAAATGTGTTACAAAATACAAATTTCCTTCTACCTAATAATGGTTGTTAGTATTTTTACATGTATTATCATTTATAATTTGTACATTTTAAAATTAGGTCATATTTCCATTTTGTAAATTTCTTCATTGTTATGTCTTACAAAGCACTGTTCTTTTCCCTTGGTTAGCTTTTTATAAGTCACTTTTTGTGTCTTCTCAATTTAGTACTAGATTCAGTCAGATATTTGATGTACTTTCTCTATGCTTTATCACCGCATCAAGCTCTAGAGTGAACAAGAAGAATAACAAGATACTTCCTCATCTGATTAACAGTTTTTGTTCATGTAACTACATACCTTTTTCAATTTTAAACAAAATGAACTTTCTTTTTAGAATATTTCTACTGTTGACAGTTCAGTGATTATGGGGCTTTCTTGTCCACTATGATGGTAATTGACTTAAAAAAATTTTGTTTGTAAAAAACAATACAAAAACGTTGATCTGGATATTTAGAGATATCTGAAGTATACTTTGTCATCCCTTGGAGTATCCATGGGGGATTGGCTCCAGTACCCTTCTCTCCATAAGAAATGGTGTAGTATTTGCATATAACCTATGCCCATCTTCCCATATACTTTAAATCATCTCTAGTTTACTTATAATACCTACACAGTGTAAATGCTGTATAAATAATTATCATACTGTATTGTTTACAGAATAATGTCAGGAAGAAAAAGTCTGTACATGCTCATTACAGACGTAACTGTTTTCTTTTCGAATATTTTCGATCCAAGGTTGATTGAATCAACAGATGTGGAACCCATGGATACAGAGGGCTGACTGTAGTCATTCAATTTTGGTGACTCTAGATTTTATTAATTATATATTGAGAAGGTTATAGCAGATTTTCTTTTAACTATTACAGTCGTTTATGAGTAGTAAACAACTCTACTTTTGCGTTCAAGACATACAGTCAAATTATTTTGTCTGATTTACTCTATGTAGGTAAGCAATTTACTTAGTTTGGTTTTAAGAAAGAAAACTCTGCAGTCTCTTTTCCCTCAAATTTTTCCATTGATACCATCAGCCTTTCTGCTGCATGGTAGAATTGTGATACAAATGAGAGGCAGCCTGAATGCTAAGGATTTTTCTTCCAGTCCTGGTTGTCACTGATGCACTGTGCAGTATGTGAAGAGTCGCCTAACCCATCTGGAGAGCTCTTGAGTCTTGCAAAACAAGATGACTCTTGTTCTTTAACACACTGGCCTATCCAGGAGGTTTTGCAATTTATGGTGTGATATCTCTAAAGAATGAAAAAGCTTCCTCAAAGATGGTGCTATTTGAGTATTCTAAATGGAGCTTTGTTGTTTGCTTTAAAAATAGTGCCTTTCTTGATGGTCATTGAATGTGTGCAGGTAAAACTAAATGGACTATTATGAGAGACTGCTCATTTCCCATTGGCACAAGGGTAAAATGTACTGCAACTGCTGTTTTCAGAGTCTGGAATCACCATGGCATTTTCCTTTGGGCATAAGTTGTTACAGAATTAGACAGCTAAAACTTTTCCAGAATGTTTACTTTGAAATTGAATATTCTACCTTTGATTCCTGCCCTCTGCTCTGTATGATTCTTAGTTACTATTAGGTACCTTGTGTGCACTTGTTGTGTTATGACTTGTAGTACCATATATGGGCCAGTACAGGCTGTACCCCCAAGCAGAGGACATATAAGAGGGGACAGCACATGCTTTCTGGCCTAAACTCCCCACCTCATCCATGCTACCTTTCTCCTGAACGTGTGTGTCTTAATGACTTCTCATTAGCCTCTCATTTGCCTTCAGCTTCTAAAATGCTCATCTTCCTGCAATCATTCCTGAACCTTGTTGTTTACTTATATCTGTGTGTGTCTTTCATTTTCTGGAGGTAAATCTTCCCCCAGGAGATTCAGGATACACTACTGTATTGGGGAACAACTGAGTTACAGGAAGGACCCCTTGCCAAAATACTTGTGCTCTAGGTACTTTGAGTTGAGATAGTTATACTTAAGGCATCTTACAAACTACCATTGAACTCAGCCAAAGTATTTCTTTGGTTTGGCAATCTCAAGAAATCCATGACCCATCTAGATATTAGGGAAGGGGCTTGTTCGTATGGTAGAACTATAAAGGATTACTGTAAGTTGCTGATAAGACTAGATTGAAGAAAATGCCAGCCAATTCATGATTATTAGGGGGAACAACTAGTTTCTCTAGCATTTACCTGCTAATGCCAATAGTGGTGCCTTCCTGTCCTGCTTCCTGTGGCCCCTCTCATGGTTATTGGACACCCATCCCACCTTATCATCTTGTTGCATGTCTCCAAATGTTCTTTGTGTCTTTCATTCTTTTTTTGCCCCCAATCTGTAAAAGTCTGACTTTTTCACATATTTGTCTGCATTGTACCTACTGCCCTTTGATCTCATCCATTCCCTCAGGCTCAGCCATGGCCTCTAGGCCATTGAATTCAGAGCTTTGTGCCTCTCCAGTTTCCTAAATCTCCCTCTTGAGCTCTAGTTTCATATTTCATCCGTGTTCTTTTTATTTCTACCTAGATGTCCCATGGCTTCTCAAAACATCATGTGTTCCTAAGGCCAGCTAGCTTCATCACCTCCTTCCCTAATGTCCTTATATCTATTAATGTTATCATTCCTCTCCATGTCACCCAAGTGCTTGGTAAATGGTAAAATGCACTTTTCCATTCATTCTTTTTTGTTGTTTTATCTTCCTACCTCTCCCAGTTACCAGGTCCTAACAATTCTCTAATCAAAATATCCCATTTTTACAACCCTTATTCACAATGAATTAATGATATGGCCTCTTTAGATGTTTATCTGCAAAACTCTCTGCCCCTTCAAGTCATAGTGTACATATACTTTCACTTATAGATTGCTTTCTTGCATTAGACTTACAGTGACTCTCCACCACCAACCAACCAAACTACAAACTCCTCACCTTGCTGTTCTGCAATCTGGCAATTACCACCTCCCTCCTGTTTTTCCAGTAAATACAGCTTTCTGCCTGGCTAGTGATAGCCCCTAAAATATAGCAGTGTGCTACACAGACAGGGGTCCTTCTTCATGGAAGCTATATTTCAGTGAGGAGTCAGAGTGTAATAAGTGTCATGAAGGAAATAAAAGGAGGATGTAAGCAAGGGAGTAACTGGGGAGGCCTACTTTAGATGAGGTGATCAGGAAGGTCCCCCTTAACAAGTAGTGTTTCAGATGAGATCTGAAGGATGAGAAGGAGCCAGCCATGCAAAGAGGCAGAGGAAACAAAAGTACAAGAATCCAGGGACAAGAAAGAGCTTGGAATGCTCAAAGAACAGAAGAATTCTCATGACTGGTGCATAGTGAGTGAGCTAAAAACAGGTGTGAGATGCACTTGTTGGCAGGGAAAGAGTTTACATTTCATATCAGGTATAGTAGCAAAGAATTTTCAAGACAGCACTGTGATTTCATCTGTTTTCATTTTAAAAACATCACTCTGAAGAGAAGCAAGATGGAAGCAAGGATTACCAGTTAGGGAGTAAGCTGGTCATTGCTTGGACTAGGTCAGGGTTTCTCAAGCTCAGCACTATTGGCATGTTAGGCTAGAAAATTTTTTGTTGCTGGGGGCTGTCCTATGCACCACAGGATGTTAAGAAGCGTCCTCAGCCTCTACCCACTAAAAGACAAGTGACACTCTCCCCTCCAATCAAAAATGTTTCCAGACAATGCTAAATGTCCCCTGGGGGGCAAAACTATCCCCTGGTAAAGAACTGCTGGACTAGATGCTGGCAGTGTGATGGATTTGAAACACACTGAAGAAATAGAACAGACACTACTTTGTAATGAATGGGATATAGAGAGTGACAAAGGAGATGATCAAATATGCTTCCTAGGTTTTTGGTTGGAGAAGCTCGGTAGAGAGTATCATACATACTTTAGATTCTTGACATTGGTCTTCCCTTTCCTTGTGCCTGTTCTTGGAATTATCCGTGTACATGTAACGTTGCTCATCCCACCATTCTCTTCCTTTCTCTGCATCCCCTCTTGAAGATCCAACTTAATTCAAGCTTTCCTAGATTTGCCCACCAATGGTGAATTTTTTCCAGTGGATTTCTGCAGCTCCATATCAGCATTACTCTAGAACACTTTCTGGCCCTGTCAGCTTCTGTAAACCCCAGAGGAGAAGCACAAGGGCCTACCAAAAAGGAGCAGCCTTGGTGGATATTTGAATTGTCTGGCTTTGCTTCTGTACCTCGCCTCTTCCCTTGGTTCCTATTGGTGGCTTGTAGGATTATCATCTCCCACTATGCATTCTCTGACCCCCGGGACCATCATCTCTTATAGGCAAGCCCTCCCCTTGGCTTATCTGTAGTTTGTCACAGAATTGGGATCCTTATTATTTGCTATCTTGTGTTACAGTTGTTACGGTATATCAGCCATCTCCCTTTCAAATTACCTAAGAGCAAGAATAATACCATATACATCTGTATCCCTGACAATGCATACTGATCACAAATTTGGTATTCAGTAAACGTCTGTTGAATAAGTAAGTAAATGATTGGATCTGGAAGATTGACCTTATTTTTTTCTCTTGAGTATGGAATTAAAAGAAAATTAACATTTTTCTATAATTAGCCCATGTAGCTTTTATAATCAGAAAAATGTGGACCATTTTTAAACCAAAGATCAGCCTGTACTTTGTGTTATTAACATAATCAATGAGTTTATATTAAAGCTGGCTTGTTTTTTGTCTCTTTGGCCTTTACACTTGGGACTGTTGTTGGTGACTGTATGTCTGCCCTGTTTGTGTATTACAGCGCTGGTAGTAAGTACCACTTCAGCTGGATTTGCATTGGCTCCGGGCCCTTTTGACTTCCCCTGTTTCCTGCTTACATCTATTGGGACAGGCCTTGCATCCTGCGCTGCCAACTCCATCAATCAGGTCAGTTTTTCACTTTTCACACTTTCTCCTAGATGGTTGTATTGTCACACTTTTAAAAACCTTCCAGACTCATATATATTGATAGAGAAGCACTTGTAACACTGTATATCCTATAAGAGTCTGTAGGTTTCATAACCAATATGTCTTTTATTATGAGATGAATGGTTTTCAGATATGTTCAGGTGAGAGAGCAGTAGAGTAGGTGCTTCAAATGACTAGGATTCCTTGGGTTAAAAAGTGTTTTTGAGCTGTCATAACTTTCTACTCTCAGTGGTATCTTTGTTTATGTATTTCAGATACATTTCCCTGAGCTTGTCATTATTAAGCACTATTCTTTCTTGGTTTGATTTCTTTGATTTTAAACTACCACTATAAAGAACAGAATATATTTCAAATAACATATTCAGCTTTTAAAAAAAATCAGTAATTTAGTATGCAGTTAACTTGGTATATGGAATAAGATTATACCCCAAAATTAGCATATTATTTTTAATACATGCCCCCTCCCATTATTTTAAACATAAAAATAATTCCCCCAAATAGATTTTTTTCCCCGTCTGGTCACTGTGGTCTGCCCTAACGTTGTGGCTTTTTCATAAGATACTACAGTGAAAAAGTTTTGGCTAAAACTTAAGGAAAATAGTTTTCATTACCAGAACACCCAAGAGGAGTTGGCACAGTTTTAAAATAAGAATTCAAGTTACCAGCAGGAAAACAGCTTGGCTGAGTAGATATATAAGTTGCTAGTCTGCAATTTTATGTGATAATGCCTACAGTCCTTATAGTTCCACAATATATTGTCAGCTATTTGGAGAAGGATCTATCTATTTCCAATAAGTCTTTTGTTGTTGTTTTTATTTTGGGTGTCAGAATGATCTTATAGTGAGGTTCAAATAGTGCTACCACTTTACCAAAAGGCTCATCCCCTTCTATAAACCAGGACACCATCTCTTCCAAGTTGTTTCTTTCTTTTGCTACATTCTCATGTTTTCTGGCAAAGAGAATAAACGTGATTTCACCATGAACATATTTTTTATGAAAATGTGAATAAAAAGAATTATAAGCCAAATTGATTTATTTGTCCATTTGGGTCTATTTTTTACTTTTATTTTTTTATTTTTATTTTGAGACGGAGTCTCACTTTGTCACCCAGGCTGGAGTACAATGGCTCGATCTCAGCTCACTGTAACCTCTGCCTCCTGAGTTCAAGTGATTCTCCTGCCTCAGCCTCCCAAGTAGCTGGGACTACAAGTGCATGCCACCACGCCCGGCTGATCTTTTTTTTTTTCAGTAGAGATGGGGTTTCACTGTGTTAGCCAGGATGGTCTCAATCTCCTGACCTTGTGATCTGCCTGCCTTGGCTTCCCAAAGTGCTGGGATTACAGGTGTGAGCCACCGCGCCCAGCTTTTTATTTTTAAAAATTATTACCTCTATTTGGTTATACATATGGGACCCAAGATTAAGCCAGGAGCACATTCTAGTTTTCAGCCTCCTTTTCTTAAATTGAAAAGCCACATTTATCCTTGAGATACCACTTATCTCAAGGATTTAAATAACGTAGCTGCAAAGCAAATGTTTAAAATAAAGTATGAGCATTCAGAGAAAAAAATAACTAAACAGCATCAAGTGGTTCAGAAACTCCTAAATCTAAAAAAATAAGAGCTGTTCGAGTAGGAGCTGCTCCTCCTCCCCTCATTCCACCCCTTTCTTCTCAAAAATAGGTAGCTCAAGAATTTATCATGAAATAAAAAAAAAACCTCTCCGTTGTAGCAAGAAAGTATTTGGAAGAATAAAAATGGAATGATTCACATTTAGGCAGAAATTGACAGAAACTGAACATAAGCCAAGGTTTTGGAAATTTTAAAAGGACGTGTGTTTAGGTGGCTGCTTGATTTTTAGTCTGTAGAAGTATTTTTGCTATAGGGGGTGACTTGGATTCTGTAAATTTAAAAAAAAAAATGAGGAAAGCCACAGAATGCATGATGGGATTCTTTCTGGTGCCGAAAATTGCAGTGTCTGCCTCTTTCCTCCTTAGGCTGGTTTTCCAGCCCATTCCACATCCCACTTACACAGTGCTCCTGATCTTCCTTTGGGATGCTTTGTCATGTTCCTCCATGTGTCACTCAACCCTCACAGGCCCCTTCAGTATCCTGAGTGATGTCAGTTCTTCTTCATCAGTGCTTGTGGTACAAATGAATTTCTTCATCTTTTTGTACCCTTCATATTGCTTCCTTTTACTTGTCTCAGGCTCTGATTTCATTTGGAAGCATCACAGTACTTTAAAAATCTCAACAATTCCCAGGATAGTAGAATTCTTATGTTACTATTATGATATCATCAGCTTCCCAAATTATAATATTTCCCAATAATGTTAGAGATATTTTAGCTCCAGTGTTAGGTAATTCTTATAAATTTAAAATAAAGGAATGCGAAGTCATTTTAATTAGTTTTTAAATAGTGTAAGCAGAACAAAGAGCACTGGACAGTAAGGGTTCAACAGAGTTTTTGAGTGGCATGTAAATAAACAGTACTTAGCAAAAAGGAATAGTTTACTACTTTTTTTAAAGGGCTACTGTTCAAATTAAAAATATATGTATATGGTTGGTCTGTATAAAAGTTCTTCACTTCTAATAGAATTCTGTGGGAGAAAATCTTTCCTTCTGTTCATGTTTATAAAAGATCCAGATTTTATTTACATTTTAATTCATACTTTCTTTTAGCAGTTATTCATTTAGTTCTCAGTAACCTTTGTACTCTACTTCAGTGATCACTGTGAAAGTAGAAAAAGTAAAGCTTTGGAAAGCAGTTTTTACATTTGTTTTAAGGAGAGAAAATGAGATTCAGCTTCTGAATTATGAAGAAGTGACTCATGCATAAAGAGAAATGTGTAAGAAACGATTAACATTAAAATGTTAAAGTAAATTACATACATATTTTGTAATATATAAACATGCTTCATTCAAAACCATAAACCGTAATTTGACTTTAAAGCGCTTATGCCTTCAAAGGATGAAAAAGTCTATAAAACGTTTCGAATTTTGGAACTGAAAGATAAAATGTTATGGATGGTTTGACTGATCAAGTCTTGAGAAACAAGTCACAGACTGAATAGCTGAATTGACAAATTAAAAAAGATGGGAATTATCAGAAAATTATAACAATTATTTTGAGGATTTGAAATAATAGTGTTATAAGAAGCTATACTTGGGATTATTTTACTTAAATTACATATGCATGATTTTTGATAGTGGTTATATCAGTCAGTGTGTATGTCAGTAAATACATTTCTACAGGATACATTTTAATGGTGACACGGCATTCCATTTTATGGATGTGCCTCAACTTTCTCAACCAGTTGTCCACTGTTGCAGCTTTTTGCTTCTATAAGTAACACTGCGCATATCTCTGATTGTTTTTAAAGGGCAAATGATTGGAAATGAAATTGTTGGAAGGAAAGCTGCCAGTGGAAGCACACATGAAGCTGCTTTAACTTCAGAATATATTATTGAAACTAAATAATTAATTTTCTGCATTTTTACAGTGCTGTAGAATTTACGGAGCATATTAACATAAATTATTCTTTAAACCTTATAATCCTTAAAATAGGTGGCATTCTATTTCTATGTGTAAAACATTTTGTTTTGCCATTGAATTATTCTTTTAGAAGGCAAGGTTTGAAGCATGCCTTATGCAAATAATGTTTTCATTGCTTATCAGTGAGAAAGTATAGATAAGCAAAAATAACAATAACAAATTTTATTTTACTTTTCCTTTATGCCAGACGTTGTTTTGTTAGAGCAGGAAACAAACAAAAATCTTGCTTTTGTGGTGCCTGTATCTCACCACCCAATACATACATCTGTTAAAATTTTGGTTTATATTATTATAGACTTCTTCACATGCACACATATCTTCACATATTTATCATATATAGATACATATAGTTTGGGTATATTTTTTCATATAGTATGTCATGGACATCTCTCCATGTCAATATTTGGTATAGCTTTTTTTTTTTTTTTTTTTTTTTGAAACAGGGTCTTGCTCTGTCACTCAAGCTGGAGTGCAGTGGTGTGATCTTGGCTCACTGCAACCTCATCTACCTCCTGGGTTCAAGCAGTTTTCCTGCCACAGCCTCCCAAGTAGCTGGGATTATAGGCAACTGCCACCATGCCCACTAATTTATATATAAATGGCCTGGTTTATAGGTAACATCAGAAGTGTCCTTTTAATTCAAGTTGTTTTGATGACTTACGAGGTGGAGTATGTTTATTTTTTAGTGTTTATTGGCCATTTATGGGTTTTTTTTTTTGGTCAGTTGTTTGCTAGTGAGTTTTGCTGTTGAGATGCTACTCAACAGTTTGCTAGTGAGTTTTGCTGTTGAGGGCTACTGCTGTATATAGATTGCACTGTTATATAAGGTGCAAACATTTTCTTCCGTTTTTGTCTTTAATGTTTTATAGTGCAGATGTTTCATATGTTTTTGCAGTGAGATCTTTTTATTGTAATACAAATGTAATACCGAAATTTTAATAATTTCTCATCAGCACTACTAGCAGTTTGGACGAGATAACTGTTGTTTGAGCTGTCCTGTGCATTGCAAATTGCATCCCAGCACCCCTACCTCTACCCACTGGACACTGGTGGCGCTCCCCCACCCCCACTCATGTCTTCAAACATCGCCAAATGGTCCCTGGGGCCCCAGATCACCCCCCCCCCCCAGTTAGGAACCACTGCTTTAATAATTTCTACTTTTGATTTTTTATCTGATTTATAAATCTTTACCTACGGTCCTGGTTATAATTTCTGTCTCAGGCAAACCCTCATCCACATTTCTTTTTGTTTAATTAACCGTAGATAGCTAGCGTGACTATATGTCCTTCTTTATGCCTGTGTTCATGGCATAATACTAAGAATGCCCCTTTTACTTTCAAGTGTCCTAATTTGGACAAGAAATTAATATGGTCTTGCTATTCATGGCCCACCTGTGCCTTCAGTC